ATGTCAAATAAAATGCCTTCACATCATTTCTTTTGTGCAGAAACAGGAAAGCACACAGCACATAGCAAATTCAAGTTCTGCTCTTTAGAACTCTCCAATTATTCCCTCCCCCCATTTTTTAATTTGAAGATTGATTGAATCCACAGATCTAGAACCCCATGATACAGTACAATGTTTGCACAAATACATAGCCCATAATATTTTTCAGGTCATGTCTGGGAGACTATGGGTGTGGTGTCTAATTGGTAACGTATTACTGACACCAGGATGTTTGCAATCATGATCATGCCTCCTTGACTTACCACATTGATAATTTATACAAAACGTGTGTTTGATTAAGTTGTCTGCTCTGCCATCATAATTAATCCTTTATGAAATACATAGAAAGATGCCATAATATTTTCCTACGGCCCACAGTTCACAATTAGTACTTTATATGTGACTCATAGGAAATTTTGTTGGAAACTTATCCATAGCACTGGTCTCAAGCCAGTTTTATTCCTCTGCCAATAATATCAGATGCTCTGGATCTTTCTTTTGGGCTTTTAAAAATTTATCAGATACAACTTAAATTTGTACTTAATCTTGCAAGAAGATATCTAACCTGTCTTCAGGGCTGGAAAACAAAAGGTCCTTATACAATCACAGTAATTGTTTTGTGTTATCTCTGTTTACTTCAGTACCCCTGTCTTCAAAATTCCCTTTTCATTCTTTTCATCACTGCTCAATGTTTCTGGAACTCCAGTACACAAAAGACCTTCCTCCTTTTCTTCCCTCTCTCCCTGCTTCCTTTCCTCCTTTCTTCCCTCTCTCCTTCCCTTTCTTCCTTCCTTTTTTCCCTCCCTTCCTCTCTTCCTTCATCTTTAAATGTAAAGTTCACTTTATGTAAGTTTGTAATAAATATATACTGCACATAAAATTTCAGACAATTCATTCAGTCAAAGCTTTACTTTGAGACTCATTCACAGAGATAATATTTGAATAATAATTGATACATATCCTTCTACATCTTTCCCTCTGTAATCGTTAGGTTGGAATACCTAAAGTCACTGCTTATATTTGTCACAAATAGACAAATGCCAATCATTTTATAAGATCCAGTTACCTATTTTCATATAGAAATATGGAGTGTAGTTCATGGATTGAAAATAAAATCATTTTGTATATATTTTATTGCAGTTTGTCTTTTTTCCATATATTAATCCCCTAGAAATATTCTGAGATCTTCTAGATCAGTGCATATACAAGAGCCTTATTCTTCTTAACTATTGGTAATATAGATTAATGTAGAGATACTAAAATAGGTAATCTATCAATCTATAGCTCTCATCCATTTACTGCTATTACATAATTTCAACACTTGGACATTTCCCTTTGCTTATGGGGAAATATCAAAAATTTTTAAGGCAATTTTTTGTGAAAACAACAAAGTAGAGAAGATTGTTATCACCTATGGAAATACTATTAACATCTGCTTTATATTAATATTTAAACTTTGCCTGAAGGTAACCTACATGAATTCTCCATTCTTTGGTCTGGTTTTGGAGACTTTCCAGTTCAAGGTATTTGCTCCAAGAATCAACAATTATGCTGTTCTTCCTGGGCTGATCATCCTTGCAGCTGATCAGTATACAGCTTTTAGAAAGAGCATCTCAGCATACACATTCGATGTCTCTAAAGTTATTGGCCTGCTATAAAGAGAAGAAAGCTTTGAAAATTCTGAAACCTTAGAAATTAAACAGGATAATGAAAACAGCTGTCTGCTACTGGAGAGGGCTTTCTTACATCATAACATGGTGGAGTGTATCATGTGGGGAGACTGAGCAAGTGTGTTAGCGGAGCCCTCTCCTCTTTTTACGAAGTTGCTAATGCTATCATTAGAGCCTAAACATCATGGCCTCATCTAATGCTAATTACATTCCAACGGTCTCACCTCCAAATATACTAACATATGATTTGGGGGATTATGTTTCCAACACAAAAACTTTCGGGGGACAGTCACATCATAAGCAAGTTAACTATATATATGTATGTATATATAGAGAAATTATGAAAAAGAAATTTAAAATATTTTATAATTTCTACACTAAAAGAAAATCAACATTTATTTTCAGTATATGTAATTCCAGACATTTTAAGGATCATAGTTATATACAGTCAAAATTTCTTTAGCATAATTGGAATATAGTATATCTATATCTATATCTATATATTACCCAGAGTCTTCCCAAGTCTTACATTGTGGGAACATTTTATTTTTGTCAGTAGTGGGACTTGAACTCTGGGCTTGGGCACTGTCCCTATGCTCTTCAGCTCAAGGCGAGCTCTCTTCTGCTTGAGTCACCACTCCACTTCCGGTTTTCTAGTGGTTTATTGGAGATCAGAGTCTCTGGCTGGCTTTGAACGGTGATCCTCAGATCTCAGCCTCCTGAATAGCTAAGATTATAGGTGTGAGCCACTGGTGCCTGGCTGTGGGAACATTCTAATGACATTAAAAACTTTAAAAAATCATGATTAAATGCACAATAACTTCCACCAAATGGATGCTTCATAATTTACACATTTTCATAATGTGCAAAGGAAGTTCCCTTTGTGTATTTAGATTATATACAACACAGACGTTAAACGCAAATTACATTCTATGCTGCCTGCGTTTTCACCAACAAAATATATAATACCTTTAGTGTAGATTCCATATGAACAAATGATTCTCAAATATCTGCTTATATGAACGATTATTGATATTTTCATGAAGATGGAAGAATAGAATGGAAGTGAAACAAAAACAAAAAAAAATAACCTATGCTGGAATCTCACTCATCCACTAGTCATATTTTATTTATGGACTTTATTGCTAAAGTGAAAAATGGTTTTACACTAACAGGATATTGCTTCCACTTTTTGGTACTCTTAACAAGATCACAGTTTGGGGCCACTTTTGAAGTTAAGAGTTATTGCTTTCTTAAATCTAAACCGGGAGATGAGGGCGCCCAGAGGAGATCCTGGGACCAGAACCTGAGAGTCTGCGTGTCAGAGGTTGGGGAGAGGGAGGGCGCGGGCGATGGGACCAGGGTGGCCAGGCTGCTCCTGGGGAAACACAAAAATGAAAGAAGTAGATAATCTTGAACGTATAAAAGAAGAATGGGTTTGTGATACAGGATCCGACAATCAGCCTCTTAGTGATAACCAGCAAATGAATTGTGAACACTTTGTGGATAGCCTTTTTTAAGAAGCTCAGAAGATTGGTGCGAAATGCTTGGTCTCCCACTGAACAGAAGAAACAGGTAGATATAAAAATAAAACTGTGGGAAAATGGATTCACGGTCAACGATGACGTTAGAATTTACTCTGATGGAACAAGTCAAGTTTCTGAACTCCATCAAGAAGGAGGAATTACCTTCAGAATTACAGGAAAATTTTGATAAAGAGGAGGTGGATGTTAAAGTTGAAGACAAAAACAAAACAAAACACGAGGTATGTATGTCTACAAAGCCTGTGTTCCAGCCCTTCTCAGGTCAGGGTCATAGACTAGAAAGTTCTACACCAAAAATTGTTTCAAAAACAAAGGTTATTGAAGTTGAAAGTAAAAACACTTTATGTGTTGTTTCACTGAACAACTTGGAAGCCATTACCAGTATGCAGATTTGGTTAGCCAATGGAAAAAGAATTGTCCAGAAATTTAATATTTCTCATAGGGTAAGCCACATCAAAGACTTCATTGAAAAATACCAAGGACCTCGGTTTTCCCTGGCAACAGCTCTTCCTTTCCTCAGATTGCTAGATGAGACACTCACACTAGAAGAAGCAGCTTTGCAGAATACTGTAATCATTCAGAGACTTACAAAAACTGCGGAGCCTTTCAGAAAACTTTCATAGTATTGATTTTTGAGAGACTGAGTAGAACTTTTGCAGAGAAATGATGGTAGAAAGTGGGCATGTGGGGAAAGGAGAAGTTAGATTCATTGGACTTTTGGTTTGAGTGCTACTTCTCCCCCCCCCTCCCGTCTTTCTCTTCCTCCCTCCCTCCCTCTCTCTCTTTGTCATAGGGGGTTGACCTCTTCAGCTCAAGGCCAGTGCTCTACTGCTTGAGCCACCATGGCACTTCCAGTTTTCTAGTGGTTTGTTGGAGATAAGAGTCTCACGGACTTTCCTGCCTGGACTAGCTTTGAACCTTAAGCCTCAGATCTCAGCCTCCTGAGTAGCTAAGATTATGGGCATGAGCCACCGGTGCCTGGCTTTAACTCTTTTGATAAGAAAAAATTTAAATAATCACAAGTTAGGAAATATAAAACAGGAAATTATATTCCACACACATTTTTTTCCCCAAGGATGGTTGCTCAAATAAAAGTACAATTATTTTCAAATATCAGTTAATCACCATATGATTTATTACATAGCTATATCATATAGAATCTTAAGATTATTCAATTATCAAAAATATTCACAGCAGTAGTCATTCAAACATCAGATTCAAACAGAAGGTATTCATATAAATGTTAGCAGTCTCAGAATTATTAAATAGCACTACACTAAAATATTATACAGCAGGTTAAAAGTATCAGTGTAATTATTTTATATCTTGGATATAATCAAAAGGCTAGGAGGGTCTGTTTTCACAAGAGCTGTACCTAAACCTTAAATCAGTCTCAGTTTTCACTCTGTGCTAGCAAGACAAAATCGTTTTAATTTGACAACAGTATCCAAGATTTATTTTCATTTAGGAATAAAATTGTATATTTTAGTATAATATTGATATTGATCTACCTGTTCATGTTGTATACCTTCTAAATATGTAATTTAAAAAACATCCCCACTTCCCTTTATATTTTTCTCCAAAAAATTAGAGATTTATATTTAGGTAGTCTTTGGATCTTTTATGTATTCACTTTATTTACTTAGAGACTAATACCTCAGTGGTCTCATTACTTATTTATGAATATTTTAAGTGTATCATATGCAGTATAAATTTTCTACTGCCTATATGAGAGTCAACCTGTGTTTACCTGAAAGGATTATTACTGTATGACACCATGAAGGAAAGCATCCTTTGTATCTTAGACTTTTAACCTAGTTAGACTTAAGTATTTTAGTTACATTAAATCCCCTGGCTTGAAAACAAACTGTTTTTTTGGGGGGGAGGGTTCCAGTCGTGGAGCCTGAACTCTGGGCCTGGGCGCTGTTCCTCAGCTCTTCAGCTCAAGGCTAGCGCTCTACCACTTGAGCCATAGCTCCACTTCCAGCTTTTTACTTTTTGCTTATGTGGTGCTGGGGAATCGAACCCAGAGCCTCATGCATGCAAGGCAAGCACTCTACCACTGAGCCACCTTCCCAGCCCCGAAAACAAACTGTTTTGCAAATGGCCTGTTGAATCAAATTAAAAGTGAAGTGTACAATACATATGCCAAGCATTTAGTGGCTCACAGTAGCAGTTCTGTTCCTCAACTGCTGGATAGAAGCTTTTGTTCTCATAAAATTTTGTTTTTGTGAACTATGTATACCAATATTATATTAAAATTACAATACTTAAAATACTTTAAAATGCTTTCCAAACTAGGCTTGGTAAAGTAGGCCTAGCAGACATAATAAGACCCTATCTCTTAAAAATGATAATAATATAGCTTCCAAAGCAAAAAAAAGTGATATTACTATTTCTTTTTGCAAATATCATTACTGGTCTGACCCAATGAAGGTACGTGGAATCTCATATCTGTTTCTAAGCTCACTAGTGCAATGGAAGACACCACTATACATTTATGAGAAAATGGGGGAAAAAGTACATAATATTTATGATTTTTTAAAAAAGCTTTGACATCATAGATGCCTTGGATGGGTCAGGAATCCTCTAGGACCCAACCATATAAAGCAGTGCGTGGTTCACAAATGTAAGGAATCTACTTAAATGCCTATTCCTAACATCTGTCACCAAAATTCTTATTCTGAGATGGGTCCTAGATCATCTAATTAGTGTCTTAGGGTTATGATAGAAGTACTGAAGGCCTGCACTAAGCCACTGAAGGAGGGTAACTAACTATATCTCTTTAGTTTATACTCATCCTCCACCCCATAGTTGATAGACACTTCCCTTTCAACCAAAAGCAACTATGACACATAAACCTGTGCCTTTTCTCCAAAGCACAGACTCACCAAGGCTGGAACATTTGGATGGGGCTTTTCAGGAATAACAAAAGGGAAGTACACATATGGCTAGGTGTCCAGCCGTATCCCTTCTGTCTGCAGTCCACTATAAGGATGGTTCTTTTCCTGGATCCCAGCTTTCCACATTGCAAAGGTCTTTTAATTGGGAAGAAGAGAGATCTAAGGAGAGCTTTCTTTGTCCTTTGGTCTTTTACCCTAGGAAATAAGTAGGTATATAATAGAAGATATTTATTGTCTGTAATGTTTACACAAGCTGTGTCAGAACCCTCTCTAGTAAAACAAATGACATTGTGAACAAAAAAAGGTAAGTTAAATCAATGAACTTAAGTGTAAAGAAGGCCTTGAGTTGTTTGTTTCTGGGATTTGATTCAGGGTCTGATGCTTTTGCTCAAAGGCTGATACACTACCACCTGAGCCATGCCTCCAGTTCTCAAATCCCCAATACTGGCATTGTTTGGGGTTTTTTTTGTCGGTCTTGGGGCTTGAACTCTGGGCCTTGGCACTGTCCCTGAACTCTTTTGGTCAAGGCTAGTACTCTACCACCAGTTTTCTGGTGGTTAACTGGAGATAAGAGTTTCAGACTTTCCTGCCTGGGCTGGCTTTGAAATCCTATCCTCAGGTGTAAGCTTCCTGAGTAGCTAGGATTACAGGCGTGAGCCACCAGCACCCAGCCAAAAATTTTTTAATTCATCTTTCAGATACAGAAAATAACTGATGATAGTTATTAATATTTTCAGTCAATAAGGAAATGTAAAGGCTGATCATAATCATTTTAATTTGCATAACTACATGATTCTTCATGTTTATTTTCTACAAGGACACTTTCTTATGAGACACTTTCTTATATACCTTCAGAAAAGCTTCCTTTATGGATTTTCCAGTTTATTATGAATTAACCAGAATACACTGTACATTTTTTCCAGTTATGGGGCTTGAACTCAGAACCTGGGCACTGTCCCTGAACTCTTTTTGCACTCTAACACTTTGAGCTCCAGTACCAACTCTGGTTTTTGAGTGGTTAATTGGAGATAAGAGTCTCATGGGTTTTCCTACATAGGCTGGCTTCCAACCGTGATCTTCAAATCTCAGCCTTCTGAGGAGCTAGGATTAATGTATAGGCATGAGCCACCAGCAACTGGCCTGTATATTTCTTTTTTCTTTTTTTGGGGGGGGTGGGGTTCGGTCGTGGGGCCTGAACTCTGGGCCTGGGTGCTGTCCCTCAGCTCTTCAGCTCAAGGCTAGCGCTCTACCACTTGAGCCACAGTGTCACTTCCAGCTTTTTTCTTTTTGCTTATGTGGTGCTGAGGAATCGAACCCAAGGCCTCAGGCATGCAAGGCAAGCGCTCTACCACTGAGCCACCTTCCCAGCCTCCCTTTTTTTCTTTTTGTCAGTTGTGGAGCTTGAACTCGGACTGGGCACTGTCCCTCAATTCTTCAGCTCAAGGCAAATGCTCTACCACTTGAGCTACAGTACCACTTCCAGTTTTTGGGTGGTTAATTGGAGATAAGAGTCTCATGGATTTTCCTGTCCAGACTGGCTTTGAACTGTGATCCTCAGATCTCAGCCTCCTGAGTAGCTAGGATTACAGGCCTGAGCCATCAGCACCCAGTGGTTGTACATTTCTTGTGTATACACTTAGAACACACTCCAGTGAAAGCTTCCTATAAAGAGAACTCAACAACCTTCATTTTTTTAACTGGAAACTTTCATTAATGTGAATAATATTCTCAAAGCCTTTCTAAGAGGATAATTATCTGATAAAGGTTTTTATTTGAAAGTTTTAAGTTGTACAGTTGTTAATTATGAGTATAGAATAGTTAATGTAAGCTGCCTTTGGAAAAAAATTACCAAGGGGATGAAAACTTGAAAAAGGCAAACACCTTAGATGTGGCTATGGTTTTACCTAAGCAGTTGCTTCAAAACTGTTATCAGTCAGTCTCTTGACAATAACTAGGTTAGATCTAATTAGAAACACACTCCTAATTTTACAAATGTGGATTTACTGGTTAAATTACTATGCACTGCTGAAGTTTAAGATCTTATGTATTCCAGTATGCTTTCCATATTTCAATGGATTGGTAATAAGGTATGTACGCAGTTATTTCAGTGCCTTAAAGAATTTTGAATGCAATGTTTGCCAATGATTGCTGTTTTTTCAAGGATCAAATACTGTTTGTTAAAGGATCTGTGAAATAACTTGATACTTGTTATAAAATAATCACATATGGATACATTTCTAATTTTTACTTGTTTTGTGCTGATCCTGTGGCTTGACCTCAAGGCCTGGGCACTGCCCTTCAGCTTTTTTCTCTCAAAGCTAGTGCTCTACTACTTGAGCCACACCTCCACTGCCTGCTCTTTGCTGGTTAATCAGAGATCAGATTCTCAAGATTTTTCTGCCCAGTGCAGCTTTGAACTATGATCCTCAGATCTCAGCACTGAGCAGCTAAGATTGCAAGCATGAACTCCAGGCACCCAACATTGTTTATTTTAAAAACCATCCTTTATGTTGCGCATGGTGGCACATGCCTATAATCGCAGCACTTGAAAGGCTGGAAAATCATAAAGGACAGCCTGAGCTAAAATGTGAGGCCCTGTCTCAAAAACTAAAACAGAGCTAGGACCATGGCTCAAGTTCTAGAGCACCTGCCTACCAAGCATGACCCTGAACTAAAACCCCGAACTATCAAAATCAATCAGTCATCCTTTCATTCATCCACCCACCCTTTATGTCTTGAGATAAACTGTCATGAAGGCTTGTTAGTTGGCTTTCCTCCTTTGCTCACTCTCTTCTAAACTATTAGGTAAAAAAATTGTTCCTCACATCAAATCTTCAAATAAAAGAAATAGCTTATTCCATAAAAGATTCTAAACCAGGGAATGCCAAATTACAACCACATGTATCCCTTGACCTCAACCCATCTTAAATACACAGAACACACCTCATTTGCAACATGGGTGTACCTATGTGTCTCTCTGTTGTCTCTAGATCCCAATGTATATCTACACAATTTATCAGTTGCAACAGAGATGCCCTACAAAATCTGGTTCTTTGCTACTTGGCATTTTACTTACAAAGTTTGCTCATCTCTGGTTTAAACAATCAACAAAGTGAACAATCCAAATTTAGTCTGTAATATTTGCCAGTATACATGTCGTAACTCCTCCATGGTCAATTTCAGCCTATCTATGTGGTATCACTGACAGGAGTTGGGAAACAATGGAAAGTAGCTTATAAAATGGAAATGGTATAAGTAATTAAAAAGAGATCAAAAATGCAAACTACAGTAAAAGAGTTGGGAATGATGTGATTCAAAAACAAAAAAATAAACCAATTTATTTAACCTGTTGATAGTAGTGAGGTTTAACAACTAACTGGCTCTCAAATTCCCTGAGCATGTTATGATCAGCCCTTGGAACCCAATCTGATGTGGTTCTGTCAAGTCATTATTGTTGTTTTTTTAAAGCCCCCTTGTGCCTAGGAACTACTGGTACAAGAAGCAATTGGACTAGTTTGTTAGTGTGGATTACAGTTGTCCAGTGATTAGAACAAAAATGTTTCAAAGAGGGAAAGTAGAAGAAAATGAGAAAGGAAGGATGGGGAAATCCTTGGGGGATGAGTATGGAAACAGAATAAATGATTCCATAAATGTTTATTGATACTGTGGAGACACTGGCTCAGAGTTGGAGTCTGGAAGATGAGTTAAGACTCTAGCCTTGATGTAAGAGCTCCTCATGAGAAGACGAGGTTCCATCAACCAATCAATCCATTATTGTTTATAATTTTCCTTCTGTGAGTCCCATGATGTCGATTTCATAGTCCATAAGATACTACAGAAAATTATAGCAAAATATCATTAAAGACTGAAGCAGACCTATGGCTAAAATGTTACGGGGACATAGAGTAAGAAGATGTTAGTTTTCTAGGATTGGGAAAAATATTCATAGAACCCTTTAGATTTTACATTCCATTTCTGTGTATCACTCTCTAATTGCAAACTTGGTTTTTTTTTTCATTGCTTCTAGAAAGGATTTGGGTTTATTACTTTTTTTCCTTTTACTCATATTTGACTTATTTGCTTAACCAAATCCAAACCACTCATGAATCTTCATTTTAGGTCTGATTTCTTTCCAGAGCTCCCACTAATCTTCAGGCCCTGGCTTACATGCTCTCCCTGTACCACTCTACCTACTGACTGTCTGAAAAAGAAGACTTAAATTTTTGAAAGGTGTTGAGCTTTCTCAGTTTTAGTGAATATACGCAATTGATGG